AATCAATGTGGTGCAAGCAACAATCGATAAAAATTTGTATAGTTTACTCCAACATAGGCCATCACGTCTTTTTTTTTTCACTGACGATATAGTTATTCGTATCTTCTTCTGGTTCGATGCACTTTTTTTATTTCGGAAGCAACACGTTCAATTGTTTGTCACTGATATCTAGAATAATAGGACTTAGTGGGCAGGGAGTTGGGCAGGTTGGTATAGCGAATGCAGATACGTATTATTTGTTGTTAGGTATGATCGTTTCTTACAATTATTCAGAAAAATAGTAAAAGTAAAATAACAGTATGTAGTATCAAATTATTGATAAGAAAATGGTCTTTTAGAAAACGCCGACGAGCCACCCCCTTTCTATTTAAAAAAATAAGGTCAACTGAAAGAAGTAGTGCTTGTACCTTTTACGTTTTTGAGTTCAGAATGTCATTCTCGATCGAAATAATTAAAAATACATAGGATAGTCCATTTAAAAATCGAAAGTCAGAGTGGTTTCCGGTCAAGTCGGAAATACATCAAAGCAAGTGAATATGCCAAAAAATGCAAATTTATCAATAATAAGAAGCTCCCAATTTCTTTTCTATCTTCAACAGAAGTCAACAGAAGGTTTAAAGGTTATGTCGCAGTTTAGTTATGTTTGTAACGATTGAGGAGAATATTCACAGTGCTTTGTGGATAGTCATTTTTAGAAAGATGTTTCGTCATAAGTCACATTACCATCTATTTTTTCAAAATATGTCGCTGTATGAATAGTGTTCACAGAAGTACTCGTAAAAGTACATAGTTATCATGGGGTTGACAAGATTGAGTTATAGATACGATATACGAGCATGATAGTAAAGTTGTTCTACACACACCATTAGGTCAGAACAAACATCAGATTTACACTGTTAACGATAATTTGTTTGAGAACATACAGATGCTTTGACATTGTTATTGACTGCAGCCTAGATACGAGATTACTCTTGTTGCCGTCTACTGCTGAAAGTTGTTTAATCCTTATGACATCTTTATTCTACGCGTAGATAGAGCTATGCACCGCGAGTTTCCTTCAATCTATAAACACCTTAGCGCTAACAAAATATCGACCAACTAACCCAATTCGCCCTTAACAGTGAAATTTAGCAAAATAATTGTGTTTGGGGATAAGATCCTTCCGGGAGGAGGACAGGAAGAACATCATTTTCTTTTCGTGTCTGCAAACAGCGCAAAGCCGCTTGGCGGGCTAAGCCTCAGTCCGGTCGAGGATGTGAAACAAGAAATAATAATGGTCTTTTGTAACTTTGTGGAACGGCTTCTAAGAAAAATATGATGATCAGGTGGCCTCTTACTGCTTATACATCTGTGTTTTTGCAATAAGACGCTGACTATGTTAGGAGAATAACTTGAGCTAATAAATACAGGACCTCAAGAAACGATAATAATATGTAGGCAAAAATAATACAGAAACTTTCCATAAACCTAAGATACACCACTGCTCAAAAATTATAAATTATATTATTATCCCAATAACGTTATACTGAAGTTGAGTGAATCGCCATACACAACCAATCTGCCACTCGGAATGAGTTTATATCAATTTACATCTAATTTCTCCAGGTATCAGTTCGGTTGTTTTCAAGTCTCTCGTATAGACTAAGTATTACGGCATCTTCGACTAGTATTGCTGCAAAGTAGACCATGTTAAGTGGGATACCTGGAAAGCAATTCGTTCAGCTTATCACGAAATCGTTTAATTATTATTATAGATCTAAGATTGAACTAGTATGTCACGAATGGCCCTTAAATTCTATACATATATTATGTTATCAGCAGTGCTACATAGTCGGTCATCAAACGTGGTATAAATGGCAACAGTGTCTTGATGGTTCCTGCTAATGAGGAGATTCTGCATGTAACCTGGGTCGTTATTCACGATTTGTCAAAACAGACACCATTAGGACTGTTGACATCATTAATTTACATATTCTCACCAGGTAATACTAAGGCGGTGCTGCCATGTAGACATAATATGGTGTCTCAGCTGTGTAACACTACATGTAACGTATGGTTTGTTATTCTGGACAGTATGCTAGGAAAGCGGCGAATATATATACGAATGTGTCGTGATTTGTTAGGTCAAAAAAGAATTGTCGATTAGAAATTAAAATTGTTGCCAACATTAATTCGACTGTCTGTTATTTTTGTTAATAGGGAATTATTGAAGAGTTTTTATGGTCAGGCAGTATTATGGGTTGGCAGTATTTTGACATACACAAATGAGCAATTCGTGTCACTAGTGAAAGTAGTGACTGGCGCAGCCATGTCCTTAATAGACATGCTTAAGTATTTTGAAATTTCTCACAAGTGTCAACACTGAACCTCTCTTTTAAGTTGATTGTTGCATTCTGAATGATTCTCATCTTCCCATGTCCTTTTTATTTTCAAACTTCTCGCGACGATTTCTGCTGTTTCTACCATCTGAGTACAACGTACAATGTGAAGAAATCATTTAAATTGATGAGCTAGCAGTTGTCACTGAGCGACATATGACACTTAAGGCCCTGTGTAAGCATGAAATCAATAAATGTATGTTTGCATTACATTACAGTCGCTAAAATATTTCAGTCCTTCATTCGCTAAGTGGCGCTACCATCCCACAGCCAGCAAATACCAAAGCAGCTTGTTTTGTAGTAAAAAAGATCCTGTTAGCAACACTTTCCTGAAGAACGTCCTCCACTATAAGCATTTCCCTTGAAAGTTTAACCTCGACATGTTCCGACATCTCATCAGCGTTCCCTATTTCTCCAGGAAGTTGGAGTGATTTAGAGGTGCTGTCACGTTTAAAAAATTGTTTTAATACAACCGTATCCTCAGGTGTCCCGGGTAAAAGTTAAAAATAAATTTACGCTTAAGCTGAAGTCGGCCCCGTCTTGTTAGAGTTCTCGCATAAAGATGAACCGCAATTATCTTTCCCCTCTCCTGGCTTTTTTCAAACAAAATAATTAACAACTCGGATTTTTTGTGGTTGTCACTTTAAGCAGATCAAGACAAATCGTGTCATTCTGCACAAAGTGAAATTAGAGGGCGGATGTAATTTACGTGAAAATATTTTTGGCACCACGCACATTTACGTTGATAAAAATAAATACCGCACTTGCTCCGACACTGGGATTGATGCAATATTATCAGTTTAGAATCGATTTCTAATTTAATAAGAATAAAAAGTCTCAATTATCCTTCTTAGTCTACACTCTACATGCACATACGAGGCAAGTATATCGTCAATTTACTGTAGTTTACGACCAAACGGGATTTGGAAGAATAATATCCTATCAACAAATATAATCAGTGACTTTAGATGCGTTACACCCAGGAAAAATAATTTCCTCAACTTTTTGTTTTGGCAACATAATATTTAAAGCATGCTGTGGCAACAATGTCAACGTTTTATCTCTGTTTTTGTTAACCTTTGTTAGGATGTTATCTCTTAGTTTTTGTGAAAAAAGCGGTTTCTGAGAGCTGAGTAGTACAGATATTAATAGTCATTGCCCTTTCGTTTACTAATGTTAAGCATAATAAAATCCCTCGAGTTCGTGGACGTCCAAATTATCACCATATTAGCGACTTTGACAGCAGGTAGAGTTATTGCCTATCGAGATATTGGTTTGTCCTATCGCGAAATTGACCGCTGTGTTAATTCTACTGCTATGACGGTAAAGCGTGTGTATCGTGTATGGATAGGAGGAGGTAGAGGAACATGAAGAGGACCAACTAGTTCACCGAGACGTACCACCGAGCGCCAAGATTGGCGCTTCAGGCAACTAGCCCTACCAGGCCATTGTGCTACTACGGGTCAGATCGCTGAGTAGTGGTTTGGAGAAGAAGGTGAACCTGTTCTTATGCGTACACTCTATCGCCGCATTCAAGCCTTTGGACTTTTTTCATACCATCCGCAGTTACTATTTCCTCAGAGTGCGGACCACTGTCGTCAATGTTTGAACTGGAGCAGAGAACTTCAACATTGGGAGGCAGAATGGCATAATGTCGTTCATCTTCAGTGACGAATCGCGATTTTGTCAAGGAACGCATGATGGTCGTAGATGGGTAACGTCACCGTGGAGAACTGCGAGATTTTGAATTTGCTGTTGAGAGGCATGTACACAGCACTGTTGGAGTAATGGCTTGGAGAGATATTGTCTATGGTAGCCGTACATCCCTTCTCTTCATTCAAGGTACTGCTGCATTTTACTGCAGTATCTAGAGAGCCGTCCACACGTCCGTTTTCAGCAAGACAACGCACGTCCTCATCTTGCTCGTCGTAATACGGACTTTTACAAGAAGCAGGCGTTAATGTTTTGCCGTTTCCACCTCGTTCACCGGATTTAAATCCCATCGAACATTTGTGGGAGATGATGAGGAGGAAACTATTCACCTTGCACCATCCGCCACACATGCTGTCACAGTTAATTCACGAAGTTCGAATGAGATGCCACAACCAGACATCGATCATCTCGTTTTGTCTAGGCCTAGACGTATTCAGAAGTGTATTTAGCTGCGGGGCCGCCCAAACTATTATTTTTTTTTCCTATTACTTGTCAATAAAATTTTTTGAGAATGTTTTATTCTTGAAGTAAGACTATAGCCAAAATCACGAAAGACGACTATTACGTCATACCATACACGTACGTCGATGATAAAATCACGATGTCAGGAATATAACAACAAATTTATATTGTAACTGATTATTTTTATTTTCATATTATATTTCATTGTTTTTACCGATACCTTAACCCTTTCAGTGCGGGACCTTTTTTAACTGAAGTGTCACCACCGCCGACTCATTTTGCATTGTCTGTGCGCCATGAAGTATATACACGTCACCATAATAAAGGTTAAACTACCGTAACACAGGGAACAATGCAGCCTGAAAATTCTATTACTCAATAAAAATCAAACATTTAAATGCTGAAAATATAATAAAAAAACTCAGGACTGAACGAAAAAGAAACATTGAGCAAGTTAATTTTTAAAAGTCGGCTACTTGATGATAAATCCGAAATCAGGGCACTACACATAGGCCAACGTCGCATGCTCTACATATGTAGCTGCTCTCCTTTTGTTTTCTTTGTTCCTGCTTTTGTCTGGAAGCAGACTCTGCATCTCCTAGTGGCAGTTTTCTTTCCCTATTTTCTTGGACCCATTTCCGGAAAATGCCGTTCTGTCAGCCTTGCACTTCCCTGATAAAAATGAAGTGGTTTTTCGATGAATATCTGAAAAAACGCTCTTATTAGAAACATTAATAGCCAAATTTAATGTTCTAACATACCTTTCCAATAACTGCCGAATAACATCTAAGTGAAACTTTGCTAATGGAACCTTTTCTGCATGTTGCGTCGAAAACATTGCATGGACATTTAGTAAGGTAATATCCAGAGAATGAAAGAATACCTTTGCATACCATTTTATTGATTTACGAGTGCAATCAATGCAACTGATCACCATATCCGAAATGTCGACAGCTCCCATGTGGTTATTATACAGGTATTCTACAACGCATAACCGATTCTTTATATTTTCCTTTGTAGTCCCGCTTATTCTATGAAGAGTGACAATTTCATTTGCATGCATTGTTGTTAGCATTATAACATCGCGGCCCCAACATATTTTTGCTGCTTTTCCAATCGACTTCACCAGTTTTTAGTTTCTTTGCAAATAATGGGATTTGTTTTCGGTTTTGTCGTACCGTGCCGCAAGAGTTCGTTTTGTGTTGGAACAGACAATTTTAAAGAGACGGGCTCGTATAAAAGTTATCTGTAAACAATGAATGGCCTTTATTTGAAAAAGGCTCACTAGCTTGGCAACAATTGCTCCTGTAATACCCAGATCATGATTCTCTCTAGCTTGTACATTTGTTCCTTTACCCGCATATATGATGAAATCTAAAACGAAGCCCGTTTCGCAGTCACAAAGAACGTATAGTTTTACTCCAAATCGATGCCTTTTAGTATTAGTATATTGTTTAAATGCCAAACTTCCTTTAAACAACACCATACTCCTCAATTTTTGCATCACCTGGTCAATTTTATACAGACGATCATTCAATGGTACTTCCTCGTTATGACAAAAGTGCAAATAACGGCGAATTTGAAAATACCTGTCTCTTAACATCTTTTGACGGAAAATAGCGTATGCAGTAAAATTATCCTGAGACCAGTACTCCTTCATTTCAAGTTTCTTGACGCGAGGCACTAACATAGTTATAGCAAGAAAAACATACATTTCCAGCAGATAAATATCTTCCCAATGTTTAGCCTTTTGTTGGGCGGCATACCTGTTCGTTTCCAACACAACGATATTTACTATTTCTTCAGAGAACAGGCTAAGAAAGTAATCTATTTCTTTTGAATCCGCAGTCAAATTATCATTCTTCACACCACTGTCACTTTGGCCGAATTCGTATACTACAAATTCGTTCGAGGTCCAAAAAATCTCATGGTTAATTTGCCGCAAAATAGCTTCCACATCTTCTGGTTTCTCTTCTTGTGTAACTTGTTCGGCTTCGTAATTTTCGTCAACAGAAGATACTTCAGAACTAACAGTTTCACTTTCTAAATTATCAGGTAAGTACTCGCTGCCGCTGTCTTCAAATGGGTCCTCCTCACTAAGGTAGATATCATCCTCATCCACAACTAATAAAATTTGCCTGATGTCGTCCTCGCTCAAGCCGCAATAACTAGAATTTTTCGGTGAGCGAAACGTTGACATAATATTCCGACGCTCGTCTGTGGTAAAATGCAAGTATCTAAAGCTGTCGCATCTGTAAGGCTGTAGGCCAATGGATGTAATTCATCGATGTCGGATATATACATCAGCCGGCCGGTGGGTATATTCTATAACTGACGTGTAAATATGTCAGCCGTACTGAAAGGGTTAATAATAGTTTCAGTGGGGAGTACAGACACAGGAACACCAAAGACCACAGTATTATTCGAAAACAAGCTAACCTGATTTAACCTAATCTAACTATTCATCTTTCAAGCAAAATGAAAACATAGTCTATCTCTATCGGATACATGCACATTAGCAATACAGTTTGTTTAGACAATAAAATTCTGTTTGTCTATCTCTAACATATTTGAAACGTCATTAAAAATATTCACAAATCGGTGTCGTTTATCTTTACTACAGACTAAAATGATGACGTAATCGTCATCTTTCGTGATTTAGAATATACCTCATTACCGGAAAATAAAGTTGAAGAAATTATTTTTTCTGGGTGTAACACTTCTAATGCCACTGAATAGATTTGAAAATTTTGCCGCGATACCTGCGGATTCAAGAGGACTGGACTATATTTATTTTTTATTCTGCTTGTGAGTTGCTAAAAAACGATTTCTCTAATAAGCTCTATTCAGGACTATTGGTATCCATTACTGCTACAAATACATCACTATCATCGCTCTCCGGAGTTATATTGCTTCTAAATTAACTGATGCCACAATTATTGTTTTCTGTAAATGCGAGACTCATAATAGTAAGCATGAGCTAGTTCTGCATTAAAGTGTCGTAATGGCAGTCACGAAGATTTCCAAATTCCAGGTAAGTTTCTTATCTGCAACACAATTTGTGTCATTTATCTCTATCGGTTTGCACGTTGGAGCTTTTAAAACCTTGTGATTGTTGTTTTATGAGAGCGAGATTTTCAATGAGATGCCCGCGGTTCAACTATGCGAATGCAACGCTAAGAAAAAAGGGTCTGACATTTCATACCGCACTGACTGGATCCTTTTTTACTACAGAAGTAAGTTAATGGCAAGAACCTTCGAAAATGAGATATTAAGGTTATTGAGTGTTATATGGTATCGACATTACGAAAAGTCATGTTCCTCAAGCCCTGTCTGTCGGTCTATGTGTCTATCCGCTAATTTTGGCTCGCCTATAAGTTGCAAAGTATTGCTCAGATTTTGATGAAACTTTCCCACTAAGTTTCTACTGTGACAAGAATTAGAAAGCTTTGTAGTTTTTGGAAATCGGCACAGTGGCAACGGAACAGGCGAAAGACGAATAAAAAAATAAAGATATTCGTTTTTTGACGTTTTGGAGGATCCTAATCATTTTCAAAAAATTTTGGAATGATTAAAAATTAGAGACTGAGGGTTTTTTAGGTAAGAGAGAGTATATAACAGTTTTTTGCTTCCAGCCCCAGTAATTCGACGTACTTATCAGGTTCTCGGTTTTATTTACAGATTAAGTTTCAAATTAAATAACTACAACCTGTAAGATGACTATTATCCGCAAATTTGTTTTCCCATATCTGGTTAACTAACCCGATTCAAGTGGTCTTACAACGCTGCTTCTACGTATAAACTATCTTGTTTTGTGCGTTTTGCGACAAGTTTAGGTATTACTGTGTAACTACAACTTTCTAGTTAACTAATGATGAATTTTTGGTTAAAGTTACCTACCGCCACAGGATAAATCTGACACTGAGAAGCACATTTTAACAGTATAGTTCTGGTCCGGTGTAAGATCTCAGCTAACCGGCATGAGACATAACTCATTCATCATATATACTAAGTGACATATAAATCCGAACACCCAATTTAAATGGTTTTATTTTAATAAAATTTTGTATAAGTACTTAATGAAGCATAATAAGTAAATGATAAAAATTTCAAAATGAATACACTGCTTTAAAGCCCTTTGACCTTTAATAATGTGTGGATGCACCCTGATGTGCTACGCATTCTCCAACGCGCCTAGGCATGCTTCTGATCAGGTGGTCAATTTCCTCCTGTGGTATTTCATTCCAGGCAACCACCAACTCCTCTCGAAGTGCTTCTAGAGTCTGAGGAGGACGTTGCAAATTGAGCAATCTCCTACCCATCATATCCCACACGTGCTCAATTGAGTATAAGTCGGGAGATCTTGGTGGCCATGGTAACAATGTGACATCATTATATTGAGAGAAGTCTATTGTGACTCTTGCAACATGTGGTCGGGCATTATCTTGTTGGAAAATTGGATCTGCCAGGGTGTCAAGATAAGGTAAAAGATGGGGTTCTAGAACTTCGTGGATATAACGCTGCGCGTTCATGTTACCTCTGATGAAGATTAATGGTGACCTGCAACCATAAGCTATAGCACCCCAAACCATAACTCCAACATTGTGATGAACATGTCTTTCAACAAAAAACTGTGGATTCCTCCTTTCACCACGTCGCCTTCTAACCCTGGCACGACCATCGTGCATGCCTAAACAAAATCGAGACTCGTCACTAAAGACAATACCGTTCCATTCCTGATCCCAGAGTGACCGTTGTCTGCACCACTCCGATTACGTCGGTGTTCTCGAGTTAAAGGTAGTTCACCCAGTGTGGCCGGTATGAAAACAAGCCAAAACTTCTCATTCGTCGGTAAACACTTCGCATGCCAATAGGTCTTCCGTGTTCTGCAAACCATTCATTTGCAATGGACCTGGTAGTGGAGAAACGGTCCCTTAAGGCCAATAATCTTAGGCGGCGATCTTCACGGTCTGTTGTTCTACGGCGGCGTCCAGTGCCCCTTGCTGTTTGCGTACGGCCTTCTCGAAGCCATGCCTGACAACACCTAACCACAGTGTCTACACTTTTGCACTCTAACTGCAATTGCCCGAAAAGAAAGTCCAGCTTCCCGAAGTCCCACTATACGGCCCCTATCAAGCTCACTAAGTTAACGAAATCGTACAGGTTTCTGTACTCTAGGCATTGTAACCGATCGTAAAGGATATCAAGAACCAAAATCCGCCAACGTTGATTCATTACTGCGGCTGAAATATTCATTTTTAGAGCGTTAGTGAATTAAAAAAAACAGTATAAAAACTGGAATGTCCAACTGATAAGGCTGAAAATTTTTTCACTTGTTATTTACAGTAAGATAAATACATTCACCAACTTTTATTAAAATAAAACCATTTAAACTGGGTGTTCGGATTTATATGTCACTTTGTATATTTTCCCGATATTTGCTCTCAAAACTTGAATGATAAAGATATATGTTCAATATACGCGTCTCGGACATCTCAACGAGCTATTTGATCGGCTTTGAATGTTGACCGATAATTGAGCACTGGTTGATAGTACTATCGGTAGGGCGGTAGACTGGATCGTAATGTCGACAAATCTGTGGAAACTACGGACTTATTGTATAGGCTTGCTTGACTGACTTCATTCATTTCTTTTGTTAAACATGTTTTGGATTTGTAGCCAAGCGGTTAGCGCATCGAGCTGGTAATCGGTCAACTCGAAGGCTCGCTTGGATGTTGTGTTGTCTATATTATAACAGATCGGTGCAAGATCAACAGGTACACCCCATCGCCAGAGCTGGTTGATTCAAAAATCATTTAGCAGTGAATGGCTTGAGGAATGGTGCAGTGCTGGTAGTACGGGGTCGGAAAAAAGGGTCAAAGCTGACCTGGTTGTCAAGTTTTTACCTCTCCGCCATTAATACTAGGACTACTTAGTTATACATGTTCGCAGCTAACGTTTTCCTAAGAGGGACCTACTTAATTCCGGATAAAATCCTTTATAATAATAATAATAATAATAATAATAATAATAATAATAATAATGATAATATTTGTTACCCTCATCAAACAGTATATACAAAGTTTACAAACAACAAAAAAGCCTTAAGAGGATAAAGGGCTACATCAGATTGCCCCTTAAAGAAGATATCTGAGACAGTAAATCACTTTTAAGGTTCCTCTTAAATGAAGCTACCGAGAGGGAAAAACCTTTAATTTTGAATTTATTTACCAAAAAGGCAATTTGATATGAGAGTGATTTCTTAAATGATGCTTTATTGTGTGATAGTATTGTAATCAAATTCAATCTTCTAATGTTTAGATTATGTACATCAGTCCGGTAACTAATTTTTAAGTGAAGATAAGGAGGGCTTTTATATTTTATAATCTTGTAAAAAAAGGAAGTAGAGTGCAAGGTACGCCTCTGAGCCATATTCAACCATCCCAGTTCAGGTAGTTTGTGCGATACTCTTTGTCTACCCCTTATGCCAAATATCAGTCTCCTACAAGAATTCTGAGCTTTTTGAACCCGTTTTAGTTCCGCACTATCAAGAAATGGGCCATATACCATATCAGCAAAGTTGAAGTGGGACAACACTAAAGCTTTGCAGAGCGTGGCTTTAGTATTTTGTGATAGGTAATGTCTATGCGGGTAAATTATTTTTAACATTGAATATTCTTTTCTTAGGCACAGAGTAATCTGCTCTCTAAACTTAAGTTTAGAGTCAACCACTAAGCCCAAATCCTTCACGGAATCCCTAAATGATATTATATTGTCCCCTAGTTTGAGCCTAACATTATTTTCTAATACGTTTCTGCAGGAATCACTACAAAACAATATAGCCATCGATCTACTAGGGTTTATCTTTAACAAGTGATCTTCAGAGGTTTTGAGAAGGCTATTCAAGTCGGTATTCAGTCAGTTTGTTATAAGTTCTGACAGATCAGGTTTAAAAGAGGCATACATTTGAGTGTCGTCAGCTTAAATATTGCCCTGGGGCACCCCCCTGATGTAATTGTAACTGCATCTGTTATGTTCCCATCCAAAGTCACGCGCTGCATGCTTTCAGATAAAAAAGAATTTATTAATCCATAGACCGGCTGCTCTAATCCAATATATTTCAAAATAGCCACTAGTATCTCATGATTAATCTTGTGAAATGCCTTCGTGTAGTACAATAACACCAAGACAGTAACATTT